CCTTCCCCGGCCACATTCAGGGGGGAAGGCCGAGCCCACCGCTGGGCCGGGATGGATGATGACCAAGCGGCGGAGGTCATCCAGGCTCACTACCGCCGGTACGTGACCCGGCGGGCCTTCGTTGAGACCAGGCAGGCGGCGGTCACCATCCAAGCGCACTGGAGGGGCTACCGGGTCAGGCAGGAGATGGACCTCCGGACGCGGCCCTCTGGCCCTGCTCGGAGCCCCCGGGCCGCTGGCTACGGCTACCGGCCTGGCCCTTCCGCCTGGGTGGGTCCCTACCCGAGGAAGCACTGGCGCAAGTGCCTGGTGGGAGACCCCGAAGAGTGGGCCAGCGTGCTGACCCCGGGCCAGCACCAGCCCAGGGAGCGACAGCGACGGACGCCGGACCGGACCAAGAGGTGCCCCGACTGCGGCCGGTGCACCAACGTCCGTGTGCTCGTCGGGGTGGGCAAGGGCTGGACCTCTGAGTCAGAGATGGAGGAGGAGAGCGAGGGCGAGGGACGCGTCCTCCGCTCCCCTTCTAGACGGCGGCCGAAGCCCCGGGAGGCTCAGGACCGCCTCAGGCGGCACCCCGACCGGGGCCACGTGTCCTGCGAAGTCCACGGCAAAGCTCGCTACTCCAGCCCCTGGCAGGTGGGGACGGAGGACCAGCCCCGGAGGCCAGGGGGGAGACCCGGAGACCCTGGCCTGCACTATGCCGCCACCGCCACCGCGCACACATCAGTCCGGTTCACGCGGGAGCGGACGACCGTCCGGAGCCTCTCCTCCACCAGCCTGCAGCCGCCAGGCCCGTTCTCCCCAGGCGGCACCGACTGGCTGTACGAAAGCTTCGGGGCCCGCCGGGTGGGCGAAGGCCAGAAGCGGGTGTTCAAGACTAGGAAGCAGGTGTGGCAGATAGCGCGGGCTGCCACGCTCATCCAGTCCTTCTGGCGGGGCTGGAAGGTGCGCCAGGCCCTGCGGCTGCAGCAGGAGGCGGCCACCAAGATCCAGTCCGCCTACCGGGGTTACAAGACCAGGATGTACCTCTACGAGGTGGGAGTGCTGAGTGAAGGCGATACAGAGTAAAGCTGCTGTGGGAGGAACCGGGGCACTGGGGAGGGGGGCGCTGGTGGTTGCTGGATGCACGCCCTAACCCCTGGTCCTTGCCTCCCACAGCACCCCTAATAAATGGATCTTAACTAGCTGTAAGTGTCTCCGAAACCCATGCTTTGGGGAGAGAAACCGCCCACCCTCCTTCGACGGGCAACTTTGAAAGAGCCGCACCGAGTCCGACTAAGACTTCGGCAACGCGTGGGTTAGTTCCCTCAAATCAGGCACCCCAGTGGGAAGCTCACCAGCAGGGCACAGGGGTCGTGGGACCCTTTCGATGGGGCTGCAGTGAACTGGGTTTCGTTTAGACCTCCTTTTTGCAGGCAAGCTAACTTTGGGGTAGGTGGAAGATGGCCCAAGCCCCAGGGGGTGAGCTTGACTCCAATGCACGGCCGTCACTCTGGGAAATCATTTGTGGGGGGGGGGTGGACAAGCAGTGGGTTAGGGAGAAGGAGGGACGACTGTGCGGACCCAAAGGGACAAGTGCCTCTAAAACTCAGTCAGGAAGTGCCTTTTGAAACCCCCCCCCCTCCTGAGTTAACCTTAGAGCACATTGGCTGCCTGGGATACCAGGAAGGCAGCCTTCCCCGTCCCAAGGGGCTCTCACCCATGTGAGTTAGAGACTACGAGTTCCACAGCCAGGACAGGAAAAAGAGGCCTAAATCCCAAAAGGGTTACCTTTGAGAAAACTTTACACTTCAGGAGCCAAATGGCAGGAGACCCTAGAAGGGTGGCATAGAAACCAATGAAAATAAGTTGTAGCCCAACGTATCTTGGGGAAGAGGTCAGTCTTAAGGGTGTTGGCATCTTTTCACCCTTGGTTTAAGGTCAAAGTGTTTGGCTAAAACAACGATACTGTTGCCTTCGTGCTTTGGGCACACTGCAAGGAGGCAAGACTCTGTGAGAAGACAGTAAAGCGTGCAAAAGCCGAAGATTGCAGAAGAGCAAGATCAGAGACAGATGGACTCCGTAAAAGGAAGCCACAGGGTTTACTTTGCAAGACCTTAACAAAGGAACACCACGGCCCTCTGGCAGCCACGGATCCACAGTGGCCCTAAGGTGGAAGCATCCTGCAGGCACATAAGAGCCTCCTGCTTGAGAAGGAATTGAATTTCTCTGCTAGAACAGGATAGGAAGTACGGCCTGTTTCTGTGGCATCCTTCTTGGGATTTCATTCCCAAACCCCAAGTTTTTAAAGGGCCAGCTTCTTCTGGGAATTTAGGCCTCTTTCACGGTGCACCGAAGACGGCCGCCTAAATGGTCATACTTGTTGGAGGTGCAGCCCTCTTTGTAAAGGTAAAGGTAAAGGTTCCCCTTGACAATTTTTGTCCAGTCATGTTCGACTCTAGGGGGCGGTGCTCATCCCCGTTTCCAAGCCATTGCCACGTGAGTTTTTAATTAGAATCCACTGTTTCTTTTGCAAGAGGTGGGTTGCAATCTATCCAAGTCCATGCTGCAATAAATGTGTTAGACATACAGTAAACACATTTGTGCATTGTCCTTTGCTTTTGCTGCTGCTGACATAAATTTAAAGAAACAGGCAGCACTTACTTTCACCTGGCACAAGCACTTTCATTCACAGGGACATTCATTCCTTCTTTTTCACTCGATGCTTTGTCTCAAGGATGGAGCTTGGTCTTCTGACCCTGCAGCATAGGCTTCTGCGGTTTAGCCCACAGCGCCACCACGTCCCTAAATGGTCATACTTGTTGGAGGTGCAGCCCTCTTTGAGCGACAGCAAAACCCACAGCACAAATAACGGTGGCACCCATTTCAACGCGAGCGTTTTATAGACTGCAATCCACATCTTTCAACGCCACGTGAGTTTTTAATTAGAATCCACTGTTTCTTTTGCAAGAGGTGGGTTGCAATCTATCCAAGTCCATGCTGCAATAAATGTGTGAGACATAAACACATTTATGCATTGTCCTTTGCTTTTTCTGCTGCTGACATAAATTTAAAGAAACAGGCAGCACTTACTTTCACCTGGCACGAGCACTTTCATTCACAGGGACATTCCTTCTTTTTCACTTTGTCTCAAGGATGGAGACGCACGATCCCCGAGAAGCTTACTTCTGCTTGTATGGTTTTCTTGAGGTTTCCTTTCTCCAGAACATGTGTTATGATTGGTGGTGGTGTCTATGTACAGTAGTTCAGCTTATGGAAATTCTAGGATTCAAGGACACACAAGTGGGTCCTAGATCAAATCAAGCCTAAACTCTCTCTGGACAAAAACATGACAAAACTGAGCCTGTTCTACTTTGGGCACATCCTGAGAAGGCGGGATTCTCCAGAAAAGACAATAATGCTGGGGAAGGTGGAAGGGAGCAGGGAAAGAGGATAACCCCAATACGAGATGGACGGACTCCCTCAAGGAAGCCACAGGCTTGAGATTACAATGGCTAAGGTGGTGTGGCTGAGGAGGGTTGCCATACGTCAGAGGGAATTTGACAGCCAATATCAAAAACAACATGGAACGCTCTAATGGAGCATTCTAGGTATGCGAGATGTTCGAATAGTAGTTTCCCCTTGCCCCCTATTTCCATGGCCAAGCAGGGATTTGAAGCTGTATCCCTTAACTCCTAATGCAGCACTCTTTCTGCTACCTTATTTAATTCCTCTGCCTAATGTCAGTATTCAGAAGTCAGATTCATTCAACAGTACTTACTGGTGGGGAGACGAGGGTGCCCTTTAGAATTTTTGTTTTTGAACTACAGACCCCAGAATTCTCTCTTCCGGGAGTTCCACTTGACCGACCCACGTCTCCCAGCCACTTAAATTTCACTCACCTGGAGGAAGGCCCGGCTCCCTCGCCTTGATGGACAAAAAGCTGGAGTTATCGAAGCAAAATCCTTGTCCGGCTTCAGCAGTCCTTGGGGGTCAAGGCACTGAGAGGCCCAACGCCTCGGCTCTGAGGGTGCCCAGCAGACAGCAAAATGCGGGTGGCAGTGGCAGAGGCTGACCAGGTGCCAGGGGCTGGCTTTGCTTGAGTTCTGGGCCTGAGGCAACCGTCTTGCTCTTCCTAATGGCCAGGCCAGCTGCGAGTCTAGGCCAGGCTTGGAGAATCTTTGGTCCTTCGAGTGTTCTGGATGGTAACTGCTATAACCCCTTACTACTAGTGGTATTGGCTACCATTGCAGTCGCTGGATAGAGCATTTGGAGGGCCAATTTTCTATTCTGCAAGATGGAGTAAAAAAAATCCAATTCTGAAGCTCCCAGAATTTTCTAGAGCTCCATCTGGCAGCCCATGCCTACAGATGCCTAACTTTCACTTACCTGGAGAAAGGCCTAGATCAACGCCTCCATCACCCTAGCTTCCTGTTTTTTTTTTTAAAAAGGCAGGTGCCAGGCTATGTAGACCTTTCTCCATGTGAGCAAAAGGCAGAGATGTCTGTCAAGTGGGATTCTGAGAGTGAAGAATTCTGGGAGTTGAAGTCCACACAAAAAAATCAAAATGGCACATCCTTCCTAGCAAGTCCTGTTGAACTGAAAGGTTTGGGCTTCTGAATAACGAGGTTCACCCTGCAGGGCAGGCGCTGCGGGGTTGTTAGCATTAAGATGCACATGGAACCGCTTTAATGCCATGCTGCATTAATGCTGCAGCGCCACTGTGCCTCAGCCGTGACCGCAGGCCCTTGTGTGTGGAAGCCAACTTGTGTCTCAAAAGGCTTCAAAGTCCTTTGTTCGCTCCCTCCTCACACTAAAAAACAAGAAAGACATTATAACAAGCTGTAGCGACATCTAAAGGAATGGCTACTGTCGTTCAGAGCTTGGAAAGTTACTTTTAAAAAGAATCCCTTCCTACTGTGGTGCTTGGAAAATGATCCACTGTGTTAATCTCCATAATGGTGAAAAGGTAGTCACAATCACTTCTGCACGCTGCTTTTTGGTTACTTTCCAAAGGAGAAAGAAACCACCTTGGGGGTCCTTTTAAAGAGCAAGGAGAGGTAAAAATATTTTAAATAAATAAAAATAAAGAAGTTCCTGTTGATGGCGGCATTTCTGAAACCCACACTCTACTTAAAAAGAAGGGGTAGCTAGTTTCAGATAACTACATGACTTGTAGTTGCTGCCAAGATCTCTTTCGGTTCTGCGGATTTTGTTCAGTTGCCACCGAATTGGCTGGTGGTCTCCCAAAGCACTTTGGGGTTGCCTTTAGACCCAGCGCTGAGTACGGGCGCTCCGAGGCCACCAGGGGAAGAAAGCATGGATGTTCATCTTGAGGCCAGCTCTCCTCTTTGCCGGATCTGTCCGATTTGGCCCCTTCCTCTGGCAGGACAGAAGGGCCAGACTTTTGCAATGAGAACAGAAACAGGGGACTTGAGTCACAGGACTGTCAAGCTGGACTTAAACTGCACCAGCGACCTGACTCGGGGTTTCCCCCACCCCACCCCAATGACTTGGACCCAACCCATGACTCAGAACCCACCCATCTCTCCCTTTTTTTCCTGGTGGAAACAGCTTGGGTTTAATAAGGACTCGAACTCGAGACTTGGTACCAAAGGCTCGGGCTTGGGACTCCGACCCAAAGACCTGCCAACATCCTTGCAAGTTAAAAGGCCAAAACCTGAGAACACGTTGCACTAGAGTAGCCCCATGGAGTCAGTGGGGATCTGGGGGAGCCAGCTCCTCTTGTCAGTGTCATTGATTCCATAAGCCTACTCTAGCTGTGCCTGGCCATTGGAATTCAGCCCTTATGTTAAAAACTCTCCAGAGACCATTCAAACGGCTAATTTTAATCCGAAAACCACAAGGGATATCTTAGAACAGAGAACCTGGAGATCCAGCGTCAGAAGGCTTTTCTGCTCCCCTCATTTGGGGGGGGGCTTGTCTTTGCAACACCCCCCTCCTTGTGAAACGGAACCCACTCACCCAGCCATCCCAATTCAGATGACACGAGAACGCGCTTCTCCATTTCCTTCTCTTCTGAGAGCGTGATTAACTGCCTGTTTCTCTTTTGTGGGTTGTCCTCCTGAATCTTTATGATTCTGCATTGATGTCAATTTTGGCTGTGTGCATTTTAGTTTTATTTTTAATGAGAGAGACTGTGAGCACAAAAAAGGGCAAAGTGGGCTAAAAATACCTTGAGTGAATAAATGATAAATAAAACCTCTACCCAACAGACAACATTTTTCCCCCTTTTCTGCAGACTTCAACCAACCAGGACAGCCCTGGAGCCAGGCTGGCGTGTGCTCCGGCCGGCGAATTTTGGGTTGCGTGCGTTCCTCCCAGACAGACAGACGTTCAACGGCGCACGGATGGAGCCTGTGTCGCTGAGCTTCCTTGCAGGGACTCGTAACACCATGTCTTATAGGCTCAGAACATTGCTGTTTGGGTGCAAGGGAGGCTTCCCAGGTTTCCCCCCCCCTTCTAAAAGATAGCTTTCAGCTAAAATATATGGGGTATTTGGGGTGCCGTGGGCCCCCTCTGGCGGTCGGAACGCAGCGCCTGCAACCTTTTTCAGTAATTATTTTTGTCCCTCAGGCCAAAAATGGCTCCCATCCTTGCTTCTGAAGGACGCCCGGGATGAAAGACCCCCATCTTTTCCGCTATGAATCCGTCAGTCCCTTAATCAATAAAAGACACAGACCCCGGGTGCCCCCTCCCTTGCACCCGCCGCGCTTTATTGGCCCCTCTCTCAGAACAAGTCAGGACGGCTCCCGAGCTGCCCCCACGGAAACCCCCGTTTCCCGCAGCTTCCAAACCCCTGCAAAAAAACATATTGTGTAGCACCAGCGGGTTGTGGAGTGGTGGGGGCGGAGAAGGTGGGGGGGTGGCTGTTCCTGTGGGGCCCACACGTGGTGCAGTCCTGCTTTGTATCCCTCAGGGATGTGGACGTTACTTCTTTTCTCTCTCTCTCTCTCTCTTTTTCCAAAAAGGGAAACACACCGAATACACAACCAGCTTCCCATTTGCCACCCCCACCCACCCCAGCGTGAGGGTTCTCCCATCTCTGGAAAGAACTTGGGGGTCATGTCTGGACAGTGATCTCTCGAAGGGGTGTGTGTGTGTGTGTGTGTGTTGGGGGGGAGGCAGGAAAGGACGGGTCTGGTTTGCACAGTGTACGGCTAGCCCCACTTCCTTCTCTGACCTGCATCCCCTGCTGGCCTGGGGAGCCACTGGCCTTACGTTTCTGTGAGCCCCACATCCCAGCTGTTCACAACGGAGGCATGCCGAACGGCCAATGGCTGCTTATACAGAAGGGAAGTGAAAAGCCACAGGAACAGCTCCACAGGACTAAAGCTGAAACTTTGATTACACTTCCTGAGAAATCAGTGGGACTTAACTCTGACAAAAACGTTGGTTAGACTGGGCTTCATGACTCTGAGGAGCAGCCCACACCCCACCCTCAAGGAATGGTGGCAGAGTTGCTGAGAGGTCCCCACGAGGGGTAGGGTTCCTCTTCGCCCGTTGCAAAGGAATCCTCTCTTGCCCCCATCACCAATATCATCATGGATTCCACCTCAAATCTCCTTACATCACACTGAAAGCAGAACCTATCAGGAAGGCTGGATTGGGGGGGGGCTGGGGACGAGGGGTGAAGGAGGAGGCCACAGCTGCTCCCCTGGGGAGTTCCGTGGCACCAGCCCGTGGTTCTCCCCCCAACGTTTCAGCAGTGGATTTCGTAAGCAATCTGAGGCTGGAACATCACCCCCTGGTTGGCAAACATCTCGCTCGCTTCCGGGGGCGCGTCCTCTTCCCCCTCCAGGGTCTGGGTGGCTTGGTCTTGCAGTGGTTCGGGGAAGACCCCCACCAGGCCTTGCGGGTCCTTGTAGGTGGCAAAGAGGGGCTTGTTGCGGTCGATGACGAACATCTCGTGGCCCCGCTCGTCCCGGTACTCCTCCAGCTGGGCGAAGGTGGTGGGTCCGTCAGAGTAGTCGTTGACGTAGAGAATGTTCTCCTCCTTCTTCGCCTTTTTCCGCTTGCGGTGCTTCCGGTAGATCATGATCACCAGGAGGAGGGCGACCAGGGCCAGGAGGGAGATGGCCACCGCGATGGCCGTCTGGGTGGCCATGCTGAGGGCGTTGAAGTCCATGCTCTCCAAGTCGTAGAGGGGCTCCTGGCTGATGTCGACCGAGGCCGGGTAGCCCCCGGAGGCCTGATGCTGCTGGTGCTGCTGCTGCTGTTGCTGGAGCGAGAGGTTGACCATCAGGTGGAAGAGCATCCGGGCGGTGCCGCCGGGGTTGGAGGCTTCGCACTCGTATTTCCCGGCGTGGGTCACCGTCACGTTGCGGAGGAAGAGCATCCCGCTGCCCGTGTCCGACTGCTCGAAGCGCTCCCCCACGCTGCGCTCGCTCAGCTCCACGGTTCCGCCCGGCGCCCAGGCGCCGCTGGCTTTGGAGCTCCCGGCTCGCCAGTGGGCCAGCTTGCGCCACGTGACGAGAGGCTGCGGGTATCCTGACGCCTGGCAGGAGACGCGCAGGTCATCCCCCAGCCGGGCCGTCGCCTCCGGCGGCTCCACCTGCACGACAGGCGGGATGCAGACCAAGCTGTTCCCGGAGATGTCCACCAAGCTTTGGTAGGCCAGGCGGGGCGGCTCCGCGCAGACGATCTTCTTGTCCAGAGGGCTCAGCAGCCGCTTCCCGTCCTCTTTGATCCAGAGGTTCAGCCAGTGCAGAGAGCAGTCACACCGCCAGGGGTTTTCTGCCGGGAGAAAGAGAGCCATTAAAACAGCACCCACAGTCTCAAATTCTGGAGGTCCAGCTCATTTCACATCCGGGCTTCCCCACTCAGTCCCCAACAGACACACACACCCTTTAGGGAAAGGGACTGGAGCCAGGGGTTCTGCCTCCATTATTCACTCGGCCTGCTCTTCCTATGGGATTTGGAATAGCATGGAAGAATTGCCCACCGAGAGCCCCTTCTCTTTCACAGTCAAACCGGTCTGAAAGACAGCTACAGCTTCCGCACCGAAGAAATCTGGGAACTGCGGTTGTGAGTGGCTACCGAGAAGCCTTTGCCAGAGAACCCTAAGCCCTCCCTTTGCTGGTCTGGGGTGGGGAGAGTGTCTCCTGTTGCCTTGGGCTTAAGAGAAATGTTATTCCATTGCTTCAAGTATGCTCGGGGGGCCGTGTCTGGTGGCCGCTGGCTAGACCTCCGCTTCTCCACTCAGCTCCCCTGTAAACATGCAGACGAATCAGGAGGACCGAACAGGCCGGTTCTCCTAATCCGCACCACCTCTCCCCCCTCCCCATGTTCTTCTTGGTTCTTCCATCTCTTGTTTCCACCTGGCTTGATAAATCTCTCCCTCCGTTCCCCTTCCCCCCCCCAAGTTTCCCAGCCCAGAACGTAGGAGGCAGGGGGCAGCTAAAGAGGCCCGTGGGAGCCTGGCGGAGGTGAGAGGGCTGCTCTCCTGTCCTGTGGTCTCCCTCACCTGTCAGCCGCAGCACCTGCAAGCTGATGAGGGGCTGCAAGGCGACCCGGCTGATGGTGTGCAGGTTGTTCTTGCTGAGGTCCAGCAGCGCCAGAGAGGAGAGACCAGCCAGCGCCTGCTGCTCCAGCATCTCTATGCTGTTCTCCTGCAAATGAAGCTCCTGAAGCCTCTGGAAAAGAAGGAGGAGGAGGAGGAGGGCCCCATGAGTCACTGGAAGCAGAACTCCAACCACGCCAGGGTTTTTAACCGATAGCTTTCCCCATTCCCCCCCTTCACCAGATTTCTTAATACTCCAGATTGTTTTGAGTCAAGAAAACAGACCCATCCTGATTCTCTCTCCCTTCTTATCCCTGAGCCACACGGGAGGCAGGAAGCCTCAAGATGTGGGTTTCTCCTGAGGGCTACATTTCATATAAACATGGTGGTGGTGGTGATGATGGATTTAGCCATAAAGTAATGCCTTTCTCCTTCCAGTCCCCTATTTATTTGCACTTCGTTTATGTGGATGCATCAAGACGGCACCTGGGAGATTCCACATGTCCTTCCCTTCAGATTCCATTTATTTTATTTTATTTATTAACTTACAATATTTTATCCCATCTTTTTTCTTTAAAAGAACCCAAGGGGGCTTAGATCATTAAAAAGACAGTATGTAGAAGCTAAAAACAATAGGTATACAAATATTAAAAAAGAATTAAACAAGTATTGCATTAAAAACAGTAATAAAATCAATTCTTCCTTCCTTCCATTCATCCATCCATCCAAAATCAATTCTTCCTACCTTTTCATTCCTTCCTTCCATCTATTGCATAGGACTGTCCTTTTTGTGCTTTCTTAGCTCAGTGTATGCATGTAGTGTGCTATTACTAGTTATTTTTCACCCTCTAGGTTTGTTGGAAATAAACCGCATGCATGAGCTTCTCACAGCCATGACTCATAGGAGGTGAGTTGTAATCTGCCTCTTTATGGTGCTAGGCTCCCTACAGGAACCTAAGTGTTTACAAATACTTTGGACTTTTCTGTATAAATAGAATAAATTGCATGGTTTGAAGCCATTCAGGACAGGGGTTGCCATAATAGCTCAAACAAGGAATTCCTTCCTTCCTTCCTTCCTTCCTTCCCATTCCATTCCATTCCATTCCATTCCATTCTGTATACTAGCCAGGCTACTCTGGGTGGTTCACAACTCCTTCCCCCATTAAAAAGGAAGGAAGGAAGACAAGAGAAGCCCAAAGCACCAGAGCCATCTTGCAACTTGAGGGCCATCACACGGGAGACTTGGGTCGGCATTGGGTTCTGTTGCTCCCCCAAGGCTTACCTCCAGGTCACAGAAGGTGAAGTCAAGCAGCCGGGTGATCTGGTTGCCGGCCAGGTAGAGAACCCGCAGATGCTCCAAGCCCTTGAAGATGCTGCTGTTGATGAGGTGGATGCGGTTGCCATTGAGCGCCAGTTCCAGCAGCCGGTTCTGGTTGCGGAAGGCCCCCGGTTCCAGGGCGGAGATGGTGTTGTTCTGCATGTAGAGGTACTGCAGGCCTGAAAGAGGGGCTAGGTCTTGCTGGTGGATCTGCGTGACGCCGTTGTCCTGCAGGAAAACTGTCTGCAGGGGAAGGAGCAAAAACAGACACGCATGCAGTCATGGGAGCAACAAGAGGAGTTAGGAAGGAATCCCATCAGACTTTGAAGCTCTGGGAAGTTTACTCAAGGACTTTGGGGCCCAGATCATCTTCTTGTCCATCCTACCAGGACTCAGAAGAGAAACAGCTTCCTGGAAGATGGACTGCTGGCAAGTGATGAGTTGGCCCTCACAAGAATGGAGAAAAAAGTGTTTGGCCACAGCATGAAGACCTTCCTCAGGAGGGCTTTAAACTGAATTGCAAGGGGGAGGGAGACACAAGCTCAGAGATAAAAATGAATGAAGGCTTATGTACCAAACAAAGGAACAAACCAAGCACCTCTAATGGGGCCCAATAACAATCTTCAAAATAATGTAGGAAACAGAGCATGCTACAGATAATCTCCAATGCCAAGAGTAGTGGAAACAAACAAGAAGAAATCTTAGTTCAGGAGAGAGAGACAGAGAGAGAGAGAGAGAGAGAGAAAGGATCAAAATGTACTAAAGATAGGGTGGGGGTGGGGGAGACCAAGCATCCATCATCACACCTAAGCAAACAAACCACTGTTAGTTGTTTATTTACTGCCTAAAACTCTGTAATCTGATCTTTAGTTCAAAGGTTCTCAGCATTTGTGGCAATAATGATGCCTACAATAAAACAGGATGTTACAGCACAGCAAAAACTGTATTTTTCCATGTATATGACTATACTTTTGTCTAAAATATTTAAACTAAAGATTGAGGGTCGTCTTATACACAGAAGTAAGCTGAGGAGATAAAAACAAGAGAAGGGGAAAGCAGGGATCAAATTGTTCCTGCAGGGCTTTGATCCCTGCTTTCCCCTCCACTTGCTAAGCCTTAGCAAAAGGAAAGCAGGGATCAAAGCGCTGCAGGATGGCTTTGATCCTTGCTTTCCCTTCTGCTCACTAAGTCCCATGGGGCTTAGCAAGTGTAGGGGGAAAGGATCAGAGCAATCCCATGGATGTATAAGGAGGAAAGGGATCAAAACGATCATGCAGTTGCGGGACTGCTTTGATCCCTTTCCCCCTCCTTTTGTTAAGCCCCGCAGGACTTAGCACAAAGAGAGAAAGCAGGGATCAAAGCAATCCTGCAGTGCTTTGATCCCTTTCCCTCTAAACTTGCTAAGCCCCACTTAGATTTCTTAATTTTGGGTTAGAAAAGGTGGGTCTTATACACAGAAAAATACGGTAGCTTTAAAATTGCCTATGTCACACTGGGTTCAAGCCACAGATGTAATGGAGAGGTGCAGCCCAAAGGGTCTGGCCAACTCAAAAAGCATTTAGGTGGCCCTGAGAAAAACGTGAGAGGTTTGTGTCACGATGAGCCACCCTAGAGAAATGGCACAAGGCAATGCCACTAAGACAGCCCCACCCTTTGGCTTGCTTTTGAGGGAAGGGGTCCCCAAGTGAGACGTTTGTCCTCTGAGCATCCCTGCTGGTGGAGAAGGCCTGGGATTGGGAGACGATTGGTCTCCTCTGGCTTGAGGCTTACCTGGGTGGAAGGAGGAATGCTGGCCGGAATGCCCTTGAGACCCAGAGAGCCACACTCCACGGTCATGCTGTAGCAGCGGCAGGTGGCGGGACATGCGCGGGCCTGAAGCGCCATGAGCCCCAGAAGCAAGAGGGAGACCAGGGGGCCCTCGGCCGGGGCCATCCTAGACGAGCTGCGGGCCAAAAAGAAAACACCAAGACGGATAAGTGAGAGCCCAGAGGGGACGGGAGATGCTCCACAATGATTTCAGAGAAGCAGACGACGCCGTTTTTTTGTCTCTGATCAGCAACAACCGCAGGAAGAAAAGAAAAAGGAAGTTCCCTGTGGCACCACGAAAACCAACACAAGGACTTCCAAGTGAGTGTCTTGGAAGTGAAGACATGAAGAAGAGGTGAGGCAGGGGGTCCCGTAATCTGGGGTGCCCAGTCTCAGAAAACCCCAAATCTCCACAGTGCCTTTTATACTTCGGAGTCCGTTCACCGAGTCTCTGCTAAACAAACAACGTGACATAATCGGCTTTTTGGACCAGAAAACCCGGGCACCCTCAACATCCCAAACCCTCCTCCCCATGGTTATGCTGGCTTGTGGATTCTGGGAGCTGTTGTCCTAAAAGGTCCAGGTTCCTTGGGCCCGCGTTGCAGGCCGGCAGGACCAGCGTGCTGACAAGCACCATCTTTCTGGCACGACACAAAGACGCTTCTCCAAACCAACACCCCAAATCTCCACAGTGCCTTTTATACTTTGGAGTCCGTTCACCGGAGTCCGTTGCTAAACAAACAACGTGACATATGATTTTATGATTTTATATATTTTTATACTGTTTTGTTTTATTTTGTAAGCCGCCCCGAGTAGACATGGTCTAGAGGGGCGGGGTAAAAATCAAATAA